GGATTTCTTCTTTATCCATTTGAAATAAATTGGAGGTGGGGTTTGTCTTGTAGGCCTAAGATAATTTGTTTAAAACAGATAATATTTTCCATTACTTTTCAAGAACTGACCATAATGCACATTCTGTTATTAGATGTGTCAGAAGAATGGGAGTTGGAAGAATACTAGTTAGGCAAAATTTTTGTGAATTAAAATACTACCTTAGATCCGACTCATGTTTCTCCTCCTTTTAAAAGTTATTACTTTTAAGTAAATGGATATAAAGTTCCTGTCAATCTCTAAAATTCTATGTGTTTATTGCAAAGTCCCCATGATTCAGAAATCTCTTCCTTCTGGTCACTTGTCCCACAAAGAAAAAGCAGCCAAAATAAACAATCCTCTGGGAACCCTAATATTTTACAATGGGTTTTAAGGAAAATAATTAAATTATAACTTAAGAGTTTTTAACTAAGGCAACAAAAGTTTCCAAATGTTTTGTCAAATGAATATTTCCTCATGTTCATCACTTAATTATTCTTACACTGATTCTAATTAAAATATATATATTTCTACTAAGTGGGGACTTAAAAAATATAGTTCTCTCTAGACTTTTAATTGGAAAGATTGGAATTATTATTAATTAGTTAACTATAGTATTAATGTAGTAACTTAACAGTCCCTATATTGCTTATTTCATAGTTTTAGTTTTACTAAACATTGAGCTAAAACAGTGATAAGTAGATGATATGGAAAAGCTGAAATCGTTTATTCAATTCTTGAAGATTTACCGGGCTTTCTACATTACCTCTCTCTACTTGGGACTGTATTGGATTAGGTTTATAATTAATATGAAGTTTCTTGAAGTAAAGATGAAGGCTTTGATGAGCCTTCTCTGTTTACCCTAACCAGCTGCCTACTTGGTTTCTTAGACATGCTTTGTGGAAATGCTATCCAGTTTTTCTTCTCTTTACTAGAGGGAATCCCTCATAAAGCTAGTATGATCTGGTTCAGTAAAGGGTACATACTGTAGGGTTATGAGATGAATTGTGTCCCTCTAAAGTTCACATGTCAAAGGCCCCAGTACCTCAGAATGTAGCCATATTTGGCGATAGCATCTTTAAAGAGATCATTAAGTTACAATAAAGCCTTTGGAGTGGCCCTTAATCCAATCTAACTGGTGTCTTTATAAGAAGATGAAATTTGAATATACAAAGAGACACCAGGGGTGCATGCACAGAGAGGAAAGGCCGTATAAGGACACAGGGAGTAAGTGGTTATCTGTAAGCCAAGGAGAGAGACCTGAGGAGAAACCAAATCTGCTGACATTTGATCTTGGACTTCCAGCTTCCAGAACTGTGAGAAAATAAAATTTTGCTGTTTAATCTACCCACTCTGTGGTATCTTAATTCATTTGGACTGCTGTAACAAAAATACCGTAGACTGGTTTGCTTGTAAACAACAGAAATTTATTTCTCAGCATTCTGGAAGCTGGAAGACCAAGATCAAGATGCTGACCAATTCAGTGTCTGGTGAGGGCCCACTTCCTGGTTCATAGACATCCATCTTCTCTGTGTCCTCAGATGGCATAAAGGGACTCGGGAGCTCTTTGGAGTCTCTTTTGTAAAGGCACTTCTCCCATTCACGACCTCATCACCTTCCAAAGGCCCCATCTTCACATACCATCACATTAGAAATAGAGATTTAACATTTGAATTTGAGGCGGCACAAGCATTCAGTCTATAGTATATGGTATTTTTATTATGGTAGCCCTAGCAAACACGTAGAGGTGACAGACAGATAGGTAGATAGAGGATAGGAAAAGAAAGGAAGGCTAGTACCCTTCATATAATGGTAAAAGAAAGGTTAACCCTAGATTAGACTGATTGAAAACAATTTGTTAGCTTTAAGTACAGTGGATGTTTTTACAGATGGACACAAGGATAGAGGGGAATGTAAAGTTTGGGGCTACCCAACCCTCCATACTGAGTCCTAAGTCCATTTGTATAGACTTAAAAATGGTATTTTAGGTCAAAAGACAAAAACATGTCCAGCACTTCCTCCACAAATATCAAGGATGTTTCACATTCCTTAGCCACTCACTTTATATACAGTTGCTTTCAGACTGCAAGGTAATTTCATCTATCTATACTTGGTGAAGATGGGGGAAACTGGTAACTAGCCTCCTTTCATCATTTTTAATGCAGTAGTTAAAAAGATGAAAGTTGTTGGAAAAGTTCATCTAAAGCTCTCATTGAAGCACACATACAAAAACAACTGGAATCCTTTAATGCAGTTAAAAAATTATATTCAAGTTATTTGGAATACATAATGTATAAAATATTGGATTAATACTTAACGTACCATTTATGATTGAAAATGGACTAAGATTTTCAATTTATAAAATAAATATTGACATAGTCTCAGCCCTAGTATTGTTGTATGCTGTTGCTGCTATGATGGTACAATACCACGTTAATGTCAATGGTATAATTTAGTGTCCTCTAAATGTATTTTTCTTTGTCAATGTATTGCTCATCATTTTACAAATTACAGTTCTGTAATGCTGAGGTAATTCATATCTTGGACTTTGTGCTAAAATGATGAAGTGGTTATGTTTTTGCTCAGCAATTGATCTTTTAAAATTTTGCATTAGTATTAATCATGTTTATTGGCCCAATGTTACTATAAAGAATTCTGAGTGTTGCAATGCAGTTACTTTTATCATTTATTAAGATACTTCACTTAGCTTCCTCCACCATTCCTGTTCATTACAGCATTACAATGTCATATTGATTCTAATTGGAATTTCAAATTTGTGAGTGCTAAATTATGTCAATGCACCAACCATAAACTATCTCCCTGTTCTTAGGCAGTGACTATACAACAGCAAACATTTGGATGAAAAGAGAGAACAATTGGTGTAATAATAAGACTGTTGCATGTTTTCAATGAACACACCAAACCTCAGAATGATCAAGAGAATGGTTTCTGGTCCATTAAGCCAGTCTATCAAATTCAGTACAATTTCCTACTTTTTAAGCTTCCATACATGTTAACTGAATGGCTTAAAGCAGAAACTGAACAGTTAGCTACTTATTTCTTCCCCATTTGATTGGAAAAGCTTTGTCCATATAAGTAGGGCCAGGCCTCAGCCTTTATATATACACTGCTTGAGAATCTTGTGTTTCCTTGTCTGAAACTTCTCTAGTTGGAAATTGACCAAGTCTCCCACTTTTGGATTAGAAATTGATGTTGGCCACAAGAAGACTTGAAAGAGTCCTAAGGACGGAGTAGATTTCCAGAACTGTGATATGAGTACATGAATGGGTAGAAAGGTTAAGGGAAATAAAAAGGAAAACAAAGAAACAAACCTTTGAGAGATTCTAGCAGACAGTTTGCTTTAATTAATTTTAAATCTTCAGGAAGAATACGAATTTTCCCTGAAAACATTTCCCTAAAAAATATCTACAATTCTAAATGCTATTTTTGGAAATGCTGTTAATGTCAATGGTATAATTCAGTGTTCTCTGAATGTACCTTTAGTATAGAAACTGGAATTTAAGCTCGGCGTGTATAATTTGAAAATTCATGTTCTTTCTATGATCCTAGATTGAAAGCAAAAGTATAAAATAAAAAGATAAATTAATGTTTTATTTTATAAATAAAAATGTTCAACCCCATTGACCCAGAAATCCCACTCCAGGGAATTGACTGATTCTAAGGAAATATTCAAATGAATGTTGTTATTATGGTAAGTCTATAATAATGACAGATTTGAAACAAAGTCCAATGTTTAACAAATTATAGTACATTAACCCCGGAGACTACTATGTAACTATTACAATTTGTGAATATGATGCCTAAAGCAACATGGCAGAGATTTTTATTGTGTAAAAATGAGTACACATATGAACAAAGCCTAGGACAGAACTTAAAGAACTGAAAAAATTACAATGTTGAGTGTTAGGAATATGAGCACCCTGATTTCTTTCTACTTTTTTTCTTAAACCAACAAATGCACGTATTTTACAGTCTTCAAGATTCCCCGGCCTAAACCTCTCCAAAATACATGGTCAGTATTTTGGGCGGCAGATGGGATAGTCAGCCAGGTGGAGATGCTAATGTCACAATTCCAGCATGGGAATGGGAGCAGGACCACTGACCCCTGAATTAATGAAACACATCAAAGTGAATAGGTGGGGCTGCACACACAACCATTTTTTTTTCTAAAGCCAGATTGTCTGTACTGTCGTGATTGGAATTCAATCCCTTACCCCTCTACTTAAAGTATTCTTCTTAAAAGGATGTCCTGGAAATAATTCTGTGGTTGTTTCCTATATGGTTTTAAGCAATGGTTCTGCCCCCACAGTGTACTAAGTGCCAGATGAAATAGCTATGCCACTGTAGATTACTATGATAATATAGTAGTCTGCACTGAACGCATACTTTACTTCACTCTCTAGCATGGATGATCAAAGTAAAACACCATTACAAATTGGGAGCTGTGGTTTTCTATTTTATCCAGCTGATTTTGTACAAAAGCCTGCTGTGCATGAAGAGACTTGCTTTTTGAGAGCTGGATCTGAGAACAAAATAACCGATCATTTTATTTCTTACCACATATTTTTGTGTGTTACCATGCTTTTATAAAGGAGCTTGTTCTTTTTGAGTGAATAGCAACTGCTCTTCCTTAAAAAAATAGCACATGTATGTTAGAGGGTTGGAATGGGAAGCAGTAGTATTCAGTTAATGGCCTTTAGCATATAAATGCTTTCAAAAGTTATTCATTATGATTAACTGAGCCTTTATTGTTAGTGAGGGTTGTTTAATCTCCCCAGAGTCAGCTTAAATCCAAGGCTATTGAAAGATTTTTGAAACCATCATGAAAATGAGTCACATATGTTTAATAATAATTTTTATGGAGTAATATAAATAATTACAATTCTAAAAGATGAGTTTAAAAAAAAGTCTTCACTTAGAAAGTTGTCAATTTGTGATCAGTTTATATTAATTTTTTTCAGGTGGAAGTGAATCCTCTTGGGATAAGGATAAGATGCAGTCTCCTCTTGCTGCTCCAGGACCCCAACATGGAATTGCTCATGCAGCCCTGACTGGCCAGCCAGGTCTTGGGGGTGCTCCTACCCTCAATCCACTGCAGCAGAACCACCTGCTAACCAATAGTATGTATACTGTTCTGCCAAAACTTGATGTGTTGAGAAAAATACCATACAAGACCCACTGGACAACTTGGGCTAGCAGGGATAGTTTATTTCTATTTAGTAACATTTAACAATTTGAAATCATAAGGGTAGATAAAGAGGGATTCATCTGAAAGGCTGGGGTTTATAGAGTAGAAACTGAGTGGCCAAATTGTAGAGTAGAAGTACGTGGGATGCCACGTTACAGAGTAGTTAAGAATGCTGGTTTATTGTCACATAAACTTGGGTTTGAATTCCACATCTTTTGAATTCTTATCACTTTTTTGCTTTGGGCAAGTCAGATAACTTTTCCAAGTCTCAGTTTCCACAACTACAAAATAGGAATTAAAAAATATACATAATCATTAAAGTTATTGGGAGGGCTAAAAAAATAAAGGAAAAACTGTTAACAGTTATCTGCATATAGTGAGTACTTATTATTCAGTTGTCCAACTATAGGTGAAGTATACAAATTCAGGTTTAAATAATGTTTTTAGGAACTTCAAAGTATCAGAAGTCTTTCTGGAGGAAAGTAGGCCTCATATACATTACTTGATTGAAGTCTTACTTTCTTACAAACAGGAATTCTTGGAGAAGAGTTCCATTATTTCTTTCCCTGAGACTTTCATCCTCCCACTAAACCCTAGGAATAAGACAACAAAGGAATTCTGAGATATTTTTACATGAAGTCCTAAATCTTATTGAAATTCATCCATTTTTAGGCACACAAAATAAGTTATGGTGTCTTATTTTAAGGAGATTATAATCTTGAGGGTGAAATGTCTCATAAAAATGGAACATTAAGCAAAGGCAAATAAAATAAATGCCAGAAAAGTTGTAAATGTTATCTTATAAGAAGTTAAAAACAACTGATTAAGGTAGACTTATGTCATAAAGAAGGGGGGCCTAGAGGATTTCAAGTTTCCTATCTGACATGTAAGGAGCTTAGAAATTGTCATTCTTGCCCTCACAAGAAAAAAGTGGAACAATCTGAAAATCAACGATTCTTTTAAATCCATCAGAAATTGAGTTCAAAGGACACAGCTATCCCCAAAAGTAGATAGATAGGTGGATACAGGGAATCACAGCTTACAGGGAGCAGAAGCCAGAGTTGGAGCCTGGTAAAAGCATTTAAAGGGTAATTCAGTAATTTTTGAAGATTCAGTGTGGGTCTAGCTTGAGAGATAAATACTCCAGGGGGGACCATCCTTAGGGGCTCCTTACACTGTCATGAGTTTTACCTTCAGATACCTCCAGGAGCCCCATAAGGTTCTCAGGATGAAGACTTGAGAAAATTCTCCTCATGCTTCTGGAAGAGGGAGAGAAAAAGTAACCATTTCAAAATATGTCCAGAATGTTCTCTTCTCCTTATCGAAGGCCTGCCCTCAAAAGAAACTGTTTTGCCAGAACTTTACCTACTTGGTTTTACTAGAGCCTAACTGACCTGGGGGAAGGGATACACTAAACTCCAGGACCCTATAGCCATTGATGTGAGGGAATAGATACGAAACCTTTAGTCTTTCATGTGGGAAAAGAGAAATACTCCAGTTCCCTCTAGCCTTCCTGTCTCACCTCAGAGGGGAAAAAAAGCTGAAAAACACTTGTGAAAGTTACAGACCAAGACTACAGACTCACTGAGAAACTAAGGCTTAATCATAGGATTATAGAGTGCTTTTCCCTATACATTTTACTACTACTACTGTAGGGCTCTGCATAACAAAAGGGGATTACAATTGAGAGAACTGAAAGCCTCAGGCCCTATTTAATAGAGAATCTTTAGGAAAAAAAATAGATAACAGGAAGGATATGAAATTAAAGTCACTAATACAACAGCTACAGCAAACAGTAAACAGAGCCTCACTCCTTACTAGATAAACATAAAACTTTCCACTAAAGGCCTGTTCACATCACTTCCCTTTACCCAAAACACATTTTCTAGCTTTTAGCAAAAAAGTACAAGGCATGAAAATGGTAAAAAAAAGAAAACAGTATGAAGAGGTAAAGCAATTGTCAGAACCAGAATTAGATATAGAAGATATTTTATTTTATCTTATTTTATTTTTTTATTGAAGTACAGTCAATTATGTGTCAATTTCTGATGTACAGCACAATGTCCCAGTCATGCATTTTTATATCCTTTTTCATTATAGATTACTACAAGATCTTGAATATAGTTCCCTATGCTATACAAAAGAAACTTTTTGATTTATAATCATTTTACAATGTTGTGTCAAATTCCAGTGTTCAGCACAATTTTTCAGTCATTACAAAAGAAACTTTTTAAAATCTATTTTTATATATAATAGCTAACATTTGCAAATCTCAAACTCCCAAATTTATCCCTTCCCATGCCCTTTCCCTGGTTGTTTACTATGTCTGTGAGTCTGTTTCTGTTTTGTAGATGAGTTCATAGTGTCCTTTTGTTTGTTTGTTTTTAGATTCCACATATGAGTGATCTCATATGGTATTTTTCTTTCTCTTTCTGGCTTACTTCACTTAGAATGATGGTCTCTAGGTCCATGCCTGTTGCTACAAATGGCATTATTTTATTATTTTTATGGCAGAGTAGTATTCCATTGCATAAATATAACATAACTTCTTTATCCAGTCATCTGTCAATGGACATTTAGGTTGCTTCCATGTCTTGGCTATTGTATATAGTCCTGCTATGAACATTGGGGAGCATGTATCTTTTCAAATTAGAGTTCCCTCTGGATATCTGCCCAGAAGTGGAATTGCTGGATCATATGGTAAGTCTATTTTTAGTTTTTTGAGGAACTTCCATAGTGTTTTCCATGATGGCTGCATCAAACTACATTCCCACCAGCAGTGTAGGATGGTTCCCTTTTCTCCACAGCCTCTCCAGCATTTATTGTTCATGGACTTCTGAATGATGGCCATTCTGACTGGTGTGAGGTGATACCTTATTATAGTTTTGATTTGCATTTCTCTAATAATTAATGATGTTGAGCATCTTTTCATGTGCCTATCTGGATGTCTTCTTTGGAGAGATGTCTATTTAGGTCTTCTGCCCATTTTTTGGATTGGATTGTTTGTCTTTTTTGTTATTAAGTTTCATGTACTGTTTATATATTCTGGAATTTGAGCCTTTGTCAGTCATATCATTTGCAAATATTTTATCCCATTCCATAGGTTGTCATTTTGTTTTGCTTATGGTTTTCTTTGCTGTGCAAAAGCTTATGAGTTTAATTAGGTCCCATTTGTTTATTTTTGCTCTTATTTCTATTTCCTGGGTAGACTGCCCTAAGAGAACATTGCAAAGATTTATGTCAGAGAATGTTTTGCCTATGTTTTCTTCTAGGAGATTTATCACGTCTGAGCAGATATTTTAGAATGATCAGACTTGGAACTTAAAATATGACTAACATACTAAGAGAATGGAAAAAGTGGAAAACATACAAATATATATGGGAAATTTTGGCAGAGAGATGGGAAAGCTAAACATCAAAAGGAGATATTGGAAATTAAAAACACTGCAACAAAATTAAGAATGCCCAAGATGGGCTCATCAGTATACAGGACAGGGTCCAGGCAAGAATTAGGAAGCTTGCAGATATGTCAATAGAAACTTCCCAAACTGAAAAAAAAAGATTTAAAAAAACAGAACAGGATATCCAAGAACTGTGTGGCAATTACAAAAGGTGTAGCACCCATGTACTTGAGATACTAGAAGAACAAGAATGAAGGAAATAAACAGAAGAATTATCTGAAGTAACAGTGGCTGAAAATTTTACAAAATTAATGAGAGTCACCAAATTACAGATCCAGAAAGCTCACAGAACACTAAGAAAGATAAATATTTTAAAAATATGCACCTATGCATATTATAGTCAAAATGGAGAAACAACAAGAAAAAGGTCTCTCCTTGCCCATACAAGAACAAAGATGAGAATTACTTGAGACTTATATTCAGGAATCAGGCAGGCATGCAAGAATAGAGTGGTGTGAACTATTTAGTGATGACAGAAAAAAAAAAACCCAACTTAGAATTCTGTATCCAGTGAAGTTTTCCTTTAAAAGAAAAGAAGAAATAAAGATCTCCTCAGACAAACAAAAGTAAAAAGAACTTGTTACCATACCACCAGATCTGTAAGAAATGTTAAAAGAAGATCTTCAGAGAGAAGGAAAATGATATAGATTAGAAACATGGGTCTACATGAAGAAAGGAAGAGTGTTAGGGAAGAAATAAATTAAGGTAAATAATCCCTCTCTATTTTTTTTATTCTTGAAGAAATACACTCTGTTCAAAATGATAGTGATAATAATGTATTGAATGATTATACCTTATGGATATAAATGACAATGATGTTATAAGGGACAGGAAAGAGGAATTTGAAATACTCTGTTATAAAATATTTGTACTACCCATGAAATGGTTTAGTGTTATTTAAATAAGTTAAAATATGTATTGCGAACTCCAGGGCAATCATTTAAATTTTTTAACGTTTTTTATTGATTTATAATCATTTTACAATGTTGAGTCAAATTCCAGTGTTCAGCACAATTTTTCAGTTATACATGAACATATATATATTCATTGTTACATTTTTTTCTCTGTGAGCTACCACAAAATCTTGTATATATTTCCCTGTGCTTTACAGTATAATCTTGTTTATCTATTCTACAATTTTAAAATCCCTTCTATCCCTTCCCACCCTCCACATTTAAATTTTTAAAAAATAAGTATAATATGCCAAAAGAGGATACAAAAAGGAATCATATAAAACGCTCATTTAACACCAGAGAAAGTAAAAAAAAAGAATGGAAGACAAGATTCTTTTTAAAAAGGGACCAGGAATAGAAAACAGTAACAAATATGATGGCTACTTATCCAACTATCATAGTCACTTTCAATATGATTGGTATAAATATGCCAATTAAAGATATAGACTGTCTTATGTGTATTAGTGACCTGGGATGTCAATGACTTTGCCAGTACTCAAATACAATGTACTTCTTAT